CTGTGATCCATGGATGGCAGAAAATGATCAGCACAATATGACTAGCTTTTCTTTCAAATTAATATAAAATCTTTTTTTTATCAGAATGTTTATTGTTTTAAGAAACTTTACTTGCATATGTTTCAATGGGACACCTACAGTATGTAAGTGCTTTAAAACATTTTTTAATAAAGCACTTTAAAGTTTCACTGCCTGTATCTTTTTTAAAAATGGCTCAGCGATTTTGATCTGTCGTTACATACACAGTAAGTCAGAATGCACTAGAAAAGCTTTGGCGCATCACATAATATGAAGGTGTCACAGATGGGATGATGGTCTGCTGGACTGTGGAGAACAACACTCAGCATCCATATGCTGCCTTTCAACGCAAGCTGCTCTCCGTCCGTCTCCCCTCACGACTCACATTGCTCACATGGCAGTAGGACTTAATTGAGCCCCAGTGGTCGTCATCATCTGCGGTCCCTGGACCCTTGTTGTGAAGTAGAACCCTGTTTGGGAGCCAGGTTGGCACATAAAGAACTGTGTTTTTGAATGATTGATTCAAAACACTTTGCTTTTAATCCAAAACAAAACGAACAAGCTGTGTGGTGGATGCTCCTCCAGCTACCAAAGCCATGGTTGATTTAGTAAAATGAAATCAGGGGCTAGATTGGAAATCTGCTGGTTGTTGACCAGAAATTGGCAATTTTGTTGACTGTTTTTGCTCCTCCGTTTTTTTCCCCAACTTTGGGGTCATGACCTGATGTGGGGTCGCCAAAAAGGTCGAGTAAGTGTACCAGGAAGTCATGTCTAAGTTAAAACAGACTGTGTGGCACCTTGTTGAATTAGTGACAACAGCGTTGTGGATGTCTAAGGTTGACACGCAAATACTCAGGATGCTGTTCTATTTGTTTTCTACGTGCTTCCTTTTTTTCTGCCATGAGCTGTGACAGCAGGACACAGGGCCCCAGCTTGTTTTCACTGCGATGACAGTCACGGTGGATCTGGGTTAACACTCTGTAGTTCATAACATGCCACACGCCGGTGCAGCAGGAGTCACTCACATATGGATAAACGGTCCAGCATGCAAGTAGGAAGCACCTGATCAAATAGTCGTGTTGCATTATAGTGCTAAATCACATGTCACTGTGCCTAACAGTAACAGTAATATAACTAGTCCACATTTCCTTGTTCAAGTTTCATACACTCAGCATATCTTAATGTTTTTTATGCAGTCCAAGGCAGTGAAATAAAACTTTAATGTAGCAACAATGAAGTTTCAGATTTTGGAGCCTTGTTACAGAAAAATACTGTTGATTTATTTTTATTTATTTATTTTTTATATTATATTGGTTACTAGATATTTAAAAACATCATTTAATTCATCACCTTACACTATTTCCGTTAAATTCTGGAGCCCTTTTACCCTCACCCGCCCACTGCCTTCCCCCTTCTCCTGCTCAGGAAAGCAATAGTGGAGAGGGAATTCAGGACAAGGAGAGTGACTTCATCCCTTTGCATGGATTTCGACGACTCCCTTGTCTTTCACTTCATCAGAGACAATTGAGTCATTCAGCTCTTTTTGTGGGCCAGACTAAGGAAGGAGGGGTGCCGGTTAGGGGAAGAGGGTCGAAGGGGGTGAGGAAAAGGAAAGGCCGTCTGTTGCTCAATCCAGCACTGAAGCATAAACTGGGTGGTTCCTGGGGGATTGGGGGGGGCTGCTAAGTGTTTGTGTGTGTGGGAATGGGAGGAGGGAAGAGAAAGAGTGACAGAGAGGAGAGAGTTATCCTGGAACTCCAGAGCAATTTGTCACATTGGAATGGCTCTTGAGTTACCCGGGGGGCCCCTTCATTGCAGGAGAGTTTTCAGGTCGCTGAGTGGGGAGGAGGGAGGGGCTTGGAGCGGCACAGAGGGGTCATAGGCCATGGGTCTACTCATGCCCGGGCAGTATGTCTGTTGGTAGGCAGACGGACAGGAGGAGAGACAGAGGAAGGAGGCTGTGAAAGGGGCGGTCCAAAAGCCCAGTGCTTGCCAGGGCTCCGTTTTCCTTGGCTTGCTTGTAAAACCAGCGAGATAAGTGTGTGAGAACATTTGCAATAACAGGGCTAAAGAGGAGCCACTTGTCGGGGCATGCGCTCCGACACTCTCCTCTCTGCAGTCTTACAAGATCTCTCTACCCTGTTGCCACAGTCTGCGGTGTCACCTTCACACTCCTTACCCGACTCCGCCGAATGCCCTCCCGAACCTTCTGCCGGCTGCAGCTGTGTTTAAATATTTGCATGTGTGTGCATGTGCACACATGCTATGGCATGACTTTCCTATGGACCACATTCACACTCATGCACACGCACGTAAACAGTCCAGGCCCCCTCCTCTCTAACACTGCTCTGGTTTTTGGCCCTCTATTACCAACAGTCACCGTCTTGAATTTCTTTCAGTGTCAGTGTACACAGTTGTAAACCCATCCAAATAGGTAGTGTCCAACTTTGCTAGAACAAGTAGCAACAGCCAGCTACTATTTTTCTATTTCTGATCGATGATCTTTGGCAAGAGACTTACCTGTTGTGAGGATTTTTTTTTTTTTTTTTTTCCAATAGGGCTTCCAGTTTGTCTTCACAGGCCAGACCTCAGTAGTCCTTCAGTTATGGAGTTATCATAAAAGATGTTTTTTAATATTCTTGAGCTTCTAAAATCCCCGTGCTGTGCTGCTTTGATAACTTCTCACTCAAGGACTGCAAGGCAGTTAGCTAGTGGCTAACTGTTGTGGCTAACCCTTGTTTGTGAGCGATTCATGATGGCAGCACTGTCACTCTCATCCTTGTCATTAACTAGTGCAACACTTTCCTCCCCATCTTCCTCCCCCTTCTCCTCTTTCACCTTTTCTAGGCAATTAATACCCAGTGTGGGGGGTCTATAAAATAACCAATAACCATTACCTCGATTTTTTTTTTACAACCTTTTATTTCCCCTATTTGCAGGACCTACAAACAAGTATAAACAAACCCATTTTCAGTTTTGTTTTGTTTAGTTTTTTTTAGTAAAAGCCAGGCGTTGGGGTCATAAATTAGTGGTAGTGGTGGAGAAAGACTGGACAGCAGACTGTTTTTTTTTCCTTGCAGGGGCTGTAACTGAGGACAAGGAGTCAATAACTCCCTCCAGCATCTACCGCTGGCAGGCACCCCGCAGTGAACTCTTCGCTAATTACCACTGATTTAGACACAGTCTCAGGAAGGGTCGTGACACACTCTCCAACCAGTAGTGACACACACACACATATACACACACACTCTCACAGACGTGCATACAAAGTAGTGGTCACCAATTCTGAATGGCAACACACAAGAAAAAAAAAAGTGTTTATACTCTGTTATATTCAGGACATTGTTGACAAGGTCAGACTATTTTACCCAGAAACATTAGGCCAGATAGAAGTCCATATATATTGCATTAGAGTTCAATATATCTATAGTAATTTAATAACTATACGTAAATCCAATCCATGGTTTTGCATATTGACACTTGAGCAATTTAAAAAAAACGATTGTGAAAGGCAGGAAAAAACATTAATGTTTTTGAATGATATGTGATTTGAGCCAGCAGGAAACAGGATGTGTTTCCGCTCGCCTCTTGTTTACCTGGAGTATTTATCGCTGTTTTCTCAAAGCTTAGTTTTCAGACACTGGACTAGGGATCCTTAAATGATCACGGTCTTTTTTGGACATTCATATTTACATGCAGAGAGTTTCTCTGCAGCTTTCACTGCCGATATTTTGTGTAATACATGCAGAGAGTTTCTCTGCAGCTTTTACTGCATGTCTTGGTGCAAAGTAATGCCGATGTTTTGTGTATTTATTTGTCAGTCCTTTCCTAAGGCCTCAGAGTAAAAACAGTCACTCTGACCTATTTCACTAAAACTAGGTGACTGTGACATTGATAAAAGGTTTTGGGACCACACACTGTTCCAAGGTCAGCACCAGATGACCTGTGGTCGTAACCATCGAGGGCATTTACTTTTTATTTAACCTTAAAGACATTTTTAAACAATTGAGTAGTCTTGTTGTGGCTTTATGTAATTGAGCACAGAAGCTATTTGTAGTTTGCCAAGACAGCAAAACAGTCAGCACAGCACAACCTGTCACATTAAAAGTTATTCCACCACATATATAACAGACAGATGTTTCTCATGACCCCTGGTACTGCTTTTCTCTCTCTCTCTCTCTCTCCCCCGTGTGTGTGTGTGTGTGTTTGAGAGATTGGGTGGGGTGGGAGACTTCCAACAGAGGCCAAGTCAATCATTTATGTGGGCAGTTGGGAGGTGTAGCTTGACACATGGTGAGACACCACACTTTAACCTCTTTACAGGTTCCAATAAAGCTTTGACAAGAGGCACATTTATGATCATCTTGAACCTGTTTATAGTTCCCCCCCCCCCCCCCCCCCCGCCCCCGGGCCGGCGTCTGCTTCCTCCCTTTTCCTACGTCACCCCAATTCAATGTTACTTTTTGCCTACTTTGGAAAAACCAACAAAAAACATTGAATATGATTATATCTTTTTACATTAATATACATTGCTACAATTGTGCCCTGGGTCACCACAAGGTCTGCATTGATACCATCTATTCCCTAAATCCCATGTTAGGTTGACTCACTTTGTGTATTCCAGTTGTGGGAACCCTTTATAAAATAATTCTTTCATACAATTTTACTCCAATGTCATAACAACTAATGTGTGTGTTGTACTGTATTTTGAAAAACTATGTGTTGCACATACAAACACCGTGTGCTCTCCTGCTGGACTTGCAGATGCTCGCTCGAGGCTGTCTTCACTCCATTCACCATCCGCCTTTAGATCTTTTTTTTTTTCCCGCTTTTCCATGTTTCTGAGTCTCCACGTCCATGCACACATCAAGAGATATCGTCTCCCCTTTTGTCTTATTTTTTAATTTCTTTGTTTTTGATTTCTGCATTGTTAACATGTTTTGTTTCTTCCTTTCCATTCTGTTTCCTTTTCTGCCATTCAGTACCTACAGATGAAATGGCCCCTGCTAGATGTTCAACCAGGAGGTCTTCAGAGTAGACAAGCACTTAAAGATGCCAGGTCCCCGTCACCGGCACACATCGTTGTAAGTAAAGCTGCGCTCAGCACTTTTCCTCTCTCACCAGCTTTTCTTCCCTGATTTTGTGAAATTGCCAACGAACCTTATTTACCTTGTCTGATCATTTTTTATGAATCTTCTGTTTTTTAGACTAGCTGATATCATATTGTGTTTGTGTTTGGATTACACCTCTTAAATCACTTTTACCAATAGCATACAAATGTCTCGTTTTGAATGTGCAAAAGTTGACAGTGTAACATTTGTGACAGAGATTAGGGATCTGGTCTCTTTTTTAAGGAAGTTGATCTGGAGTCACGTTGCAGCCTTACGGGTTGCTGCGGAGCCACCATTTAGCACCCGCAGTGAATGATGAACGCCTGGCTTGGCCTTGTTGTGTGCTAGTTTCTGCTGGTATTGCTACCATATTGTTTTTGAGAAATATGTGGGTGTTGACGCTGCATTGATTGCCTTATGTGCGAGGCCGGAGGAGTACACTGGCGTGAGTTATATACTGTAGCCGTGCAGCCACAGGGCCGTATGCGGCACATACACGTACCAGAGCATTCACCTCAGGCATGTCAATATTTAAGAGGCCACTAGGCCTAGAATGAACAGTTGAACGTGAACTTAGCAGTTCGCCAAAGGCATAAAGTTTTCAGGAGGTCAGTGGAAAGGTTGGATGTGGGGAGGTGTACTGATCTGTTCACAAGGTTAGCAAGCTTGAAAAATCAATGAACAAAGGGACTGAACAAAACTAATAAGTTGTCCACAAATGCCCTCGGCCATCGCTGGTACAGTTGTTTAACTTTAGTTATGGAGTCATTTATCTATGACTTAAAATAAGAAAAATATTAGATAATATAACATTAATATTTCAGAAATGGGGTTACTTCAAAATTGAATGCTAATGACCTCTGGTGGTAAAGGTGCACAAATTTCACTCTCTGCAAACGGCACTCTTGCTTAGTCACATCTGGCATTTGATCAGTTCCGTTTATCTTGGTTTTCTCTAATAAAAAAACAAACACAAAAACAACCTTGAACAGTGACTCAGAGATTTCCACGAGCCAAAGGCCTCTTACAAATGTGTCCATTTCATTTATGCACATCTTAAAATAGCAGAAGTCTACATGACTCTTGGTTCAAATCAAACCCTGTCAAAAGCTGTGTTTCAGACAAAATGTTATTGTAAACAAAACAAACGCAGCCAAAAGGCCTCCTTACCGTCCCCCGTGATGCTGGTGTTATTTTTACACCAAAGCGTTCAGGGGCCCCTACTTACTCTGTTATTTTAGGAGACGCTGAGTTGAGTCCCAGGCTCCTATGAAGTCATTAAATGTAGTTGTGAGAAGGAAAAGCTGCAGGTAAATACTTGTGGTTTTTGTTCTACCATAGTCTTATGTCTGTAAATACTTCCATCCATCCATACCTATGAAATTACAAAGGAAATGTTCCACAATGGTTGTATAATTTTTGGAGCACCAATGTTCAAGATGTTTTTTTTTAATAAAAAAAATGGAATAAAAGCAGATGGATTTAGCCTGAACGGCTCAGAACAAACAGGCAACTCAACAAAGCAAAAGATCTAGCTGTGGGGCAAAGGCAGACTTGAAACAGGAGAGATGGACAACCAGTCAAATAGAAATAAATAAGGTTGCACTTTGTTGTTAACTTACTTGAGGGTGAGTCAAAAAGTTCTAAGACAAATTTAAGCAATCTTTATCTGTGTATTTAACGATTTTTTCCCCCCACTACATACCCTTCATTTAAGTCTTCATTTCTTTTGGTGTAAACCTCACCTGTAGGATTCTGGGAGATGTCTTTGGCACTAGGTCACACCCTGACTGAACTCAAGTTCCCTTCAAATATATAGTTCCAGTTAATTTTGGAGGTTACAAATTTGAATGAGGTAAAGTGAGCGTAAGGTTTCATTGATTTCTCTTTGGTTTTAAGCACACAGATCAAGAAGAGACCAACTTGACGCGCTTGTGAATGGGATTTAGGACGATCACTTTAATAACCTTAATAGACTTTTTGAATTCAAACAAAGTCTTTGTAAAGTTAGGAGAAAAAAAAAACGTGTGCAAGGTGAAGAATGGATATCATGGAATCAGAAACTCCAATGAACCCCGCCTTTTTGGAGCTCTGTGTCTGAGCGGAAAAGCCGGATGGAGCAGTGGGAGTGCTGTTAAATGCACACTGTGATTAGCACTGACACTGATCAATATGAGAGAATATATTGTAATATTTGTGGTCATATTGCTTATCCCTGGTGTGATTTATTTGATGGAATACACAGGCTGATAAGATCAGAGGCATTGCAGCATTACTGCATAGGCACACAACTCGCTGTTAAGCAGGAGTGATGAAATTGAATGTGAAATGCAGCTTGTATTGTTGGTGCTCCTTCCATCGTGCTCCAGCATCCACCTCTGACTGAGAAGGAAGTGTGATTGAATGTTTCCCTGGTTTGCATCATACTGGCTGTCGTACATATAGAAAAGACAGATTACTCTGGACAGCAATGTGAATGCCAATGATAACCCCACACGGACTCCCAGTGGTGTCACTCAATCATTCTAGTTTTTTTTACTTCTTTTTTTTTCTTTTTTCTTTTTTTTTTTTGTACTACAGCTCTTTTGCCTTCATATTGCTGTACGTGATCCCCTTATCAATAAATTGGGCTGCAAACGGTGGTTTTTCTTTTGTTTACAAATGCGAAGAAACTCTCAGGCACTTTGACCTCTGCCTGTCTGGAGTGCTAGCACTGCGGGCTGCATTGGCAGTGATAAGAAGCTGTTGACTGGTCTGCTAGATAACAGCGATCTGAGGCCTAAGTGACCCTGCAACAGTTAAAACAACAATGGAAAGATGGTGAGAGACAGGGAAAGCGAGAGATGGCAGGGAGATAAAGTGTGTTAGAAAGTTGCGGCATAGGAGAAGGATGGAGGCAGATGACGGGGCCAAAGAGGCAGGCAGACAATTTAGCTGGAAGGTTCAGCCGAGATGGGATATAGGAGGATTGGCTAAAAAAAGTGGAAGTGACCTCACCAAGCCGGACCTTCTGAGGGCTCACTATATGCCCCTGTTGATAATGCCCTCAAAGAGAGTCAGGCAGGACCTTTTAAAGTGCCTGGCCACGCCATAGGCAGCGTCAACCCTGTCACTGCTGAACTTTAATGCCATTGGCTGAAAGTTATTCAATATTTATACACCTATTGAGGTAAACAGACTGTATGTAGAGTTTGTACTGCTTCTGTTGGGGAAGGTTGCTTTTGCAATTTTGAAATTATAAAGACCGAATTTATATTTATTATACTAAGGCAAAACCCTCTCATTTTGGAATATTAAATGTATTCATCTGTTTTTGTTTCCATTGGAGAAGGTATTGGTGAAATCGTACTTTTGTTATGCTGAAAGTAAGATTAATATTGTTTATTGAAAACAAAGGAAAGATGATAGCATCAGCAATTGTCAAGTAAAATGCTCAGCAGGAGCCATGCAACCATTGAACATTTGTAGTTTGATCAAATCAACAATATTAACAAAGAATTGGATCTGGGAATACAAATCCTATTTTGATTATTTATATTCTTTTGAATTCATATTTTTTTTGTTTGTTTTTTTCACAAGAACTGGGGCAGAAACAGAGTCAGCACGCACAAATCACTTTTCTGTCATTCACACACACACACTCACACACACACTGCCTCAGAGTCTAGAGCCTAGCCCAGGCCGAACAATGTCTCCATTGTTTTCTAGGCTTTCACTGGCAGCAGGGGACGGCTGGAGTGTTAACCATTTCTCCACTGCACCTCACTGTGTTGTTGTTGTGTGCGTGTGTGTGTCAGAGGTAGTGAAGCATGGGCCCGGGATAAGGAGAGGGAGGGCACTTGCTCCTAGTGTATGGTAATTAGTGTGAAGGAAGTGATGGAATCTGGCCATTTTTATGGCCTGCGAGACCTCCCACCTGAGCCTTTACAAGTTCTGAGCATGAACTTAGTTCATTTCCATTCAGTCTCACTCGTTTCTGTGATGAATGTGCGCCAGGCAGTGGCTGTGAGAAAAGACGCATGTGTTTCTGATAGGTTATAGAAAACTTAAAAAAAAAAAAGGACAGATGACTGGATAAGTACACAATTAGAACTCTTAATCAGTGTGGGCGAACACAGGGTTTGGATCACATTTGCCCTTCATGACCACTTCTCTGTCCATTTTTGAGAAACAGGCATAGAAGGAGTTTCCTGTGCTCTGAATGGGCCGTGCACCTGGGCCTGGCCAAACAATTGCTCAGGACTCTGGGAGGCCTGGCCTCTCAGCTGTTAATGAGCGACCTCACGGTCAGCAGGCACCCACCCACACACTGTCCACAGGCTTTACCTAGAAGCTTTCTCTACCCTGTTGACCATAAGCTGCTCTTTCCCCCAGCATTCCAAGCCCTTCTACAAATAACCTCTCTGGCCTCCTTTTGTCTTCTTCCCATGCCTGCATCCCACAAGACAGCTCTCAACCTTCACTGCATTAGAAAAAAATACAACAGTTCAAATGCAGGTTTTGCAATTAGGATCAGATGCTCTCAGTTTTTATATAAAAAAAATATTGTGTATCAAAATATACACAGAATTTTTTTTTTGCCATCAGCTGCTCATCACTGTGTTTTTGTAAAAGGCTCACGTCACCAGATCTGGCAAACTTCCGATGCTGTCTGGACATGGTGTCACAACTGGGATCTGTGACAATTAAAACGAGAGCGTCTTAGTCATTGCCACTGTCCGGCAGTCTGGACAAACACTTGTTCCCCCAAAGACAATTCACTTAGTGTTGTGTCAGTCCACGACATCACAAAAGCAACAGAAGAGTAGGCAGAAGAGTTCCCTGACTCAGTGGTGGAGTGGAGGTCTGGGTCAAGGGCCACATACTGCAACAGAGTAAGGCATATTAATTTCAGTCGGCCAATTCCGCCCTCTGACAGGATTCCAAAATAAACATCAAATAATAATGGAAGACTAAATTTAATTTTATTTGAGTGTCCTGCGCCCAAGGTGTGTCCAGAACAATTCTGGCGTTCATCTGATTGTAGGATACAGGAATAGCAGAGCCTTGTATTGTCTGTTTGTATTTCTATACGACTGAATGGCTGCAAAGCTATTGTCATCTGTTTCTTTTTTTCCCTCTCTGTGGTATGTGACCGATATATAAACCCGCGAACTTAAGCTACCCCAGGTAACTGGTGACTGGTGCTGGACAAGCACATTTTAGAGAAGAATATATATTTGTGCCTCTAAGTGTGTGGGTTTGTTTCACCATGAACCACAGTATCTAAAAAGATAACGGGGTGCAAGTGCATGTACAAATAGAGCTCAAGGGGTGTTGATGCACAGAAAGTCGTCTGTACAGTAGCTCTTCTGCACTTTTGCCCCACAGTAAACTAAAGTGTGCTTTACAGTGTCCTGAGACGTCGTCCTGCGTGTCCTTCCTAACTTAGGAAATGTATAGCTCTCATTTTTTCTTTGTTCCTCGCTCGTCTTTTGTCACCTCTATATATCTGTCAAAGAGATCAGTTTTTTTTTTTTGTTGGGGCCAGTGGATACAAATAAGGATCAGGTTAAACTCTGGATGAAATAAGTGTGTAGTTAAACAATGGGAAAGATGAGACCAGACAGTTCTCAGTTTCAATACTAAAATCAGGAATGGCTGCTCTGGGGACCTGTAGCCAACTTTTATTTAAAACAGATTTTATTACTGCACTTTTAGCATTTTCAAAATCAAGAGAAACATGAGTATGCCACTCAGGTAATATTACAGCTACAACTGTGCCGTGGCGGCGGTGGTGGATCCCCGTATTGGCAGAACGCTGTGTAAAGTGGAGATTCTAAGAGGGTTAACTGTTCCTCTAAAAGAAAAATATGGCTTTAACAACCAGCCAGTCAGTAGTAACAACCACGTTACCAGTTCAGAGCCAGTGTTCCTCTATTCTGTCTGTGTAAAATTAGTAATAATGGGGCCAAAGATGCACCCGGGAGAAAGCTGAGGCAGCAGAGATGAGCTTGTATGTTAAATAACTAAAAAGCCAGGGGATGCGTTATTTCCTCCGAGGACACAATGCTTTTCCTGAAAAAAAAAAAGAAAACTCTTCCTTCAGATTGGTGCAAGTGTGTGTGTGTATATATGTGTGTATATGAGAGAAAGAAGTTAAATAAGAGATGGAGATCTGATATAATTGTGTGACTTGGGAACGTCCATCTTTGCCTTTCAGGGGCCCTTCTGCTGGGATTTCCCTGGACAGTCAGATCTGAGCCTTCACCAATTTCATTTGGTGAGATAACTTTGAATTCCAAAAATATACCTATTGGATTATTTCTTCTTTGGTTGATTTTTCAATCCAAAATTCAAATAACACCAATAAATCAATGATCTGTACATGAAAACAATGACTGAAGAAAATAACAATAACCATGCTGCTTTTTTGCTTTGGGCTATAGATTTTTTTTTTTTTTTGGCTGCTACGCTGCTGTGTTCCTGCTTTTTGTAATCTCTGAATTTCAATTCCATGTGTTGGAATATTAGAGATCTTTTGTTGTTTTAGGTGACGCAGAGCTCAATCGTGACTAAATGGTCCACCGTCTTAGGGCAGCTTTGTTTGTCTCAAGATAAACTTTTCTGTGCCCTAATAGAGTCTCAGTTTTCTGTCCTATTCTGGTTCAATGCGTGCATGCTTTTTTTTTTTTTTTTTTAGCGTTAGGAGTCACTGACTCGAAATACGAATGTTTGGTTTGAATAAGCTAACAATCCCGTGGCAGTGAAAGGAGCCTTTATGCGGTGTTTGTATTTCTTCACGCAGCTGTTTTGAAGAGTTCTCTTCATCCACAACATCTGGGTCTGGATGTAAGAACAAAGTGATAGATGGAGCAATAACACACAGTTAAAATCTTTGATTCAGAGCAGTCCTACAGCTCAGAATCGTCTGTTACTTTGAGATGACGCTTGCTGTCTCAATAGTGTGTTTCTACACCAGTGTGCATTTGTGTATCAGACCTCTGATTTGGGCTCTTTCTCCCTGCAAAGAAGTTAAAATAAAATAAAGTGTTGGGACTTGAATATGCAGATCAACCTGAACACTCAGTTGTTGTGTCGAGAGGACCCGCTCTGTATTTAACACTCAGTTGTTGTGTCGAGAGGACCTGCTCTGTATTTCATTAATTAATTAATAATTTTTTTTTTTTTTACTTTAACTACATATAGAACAGTTTATTGTTTTCGTGTACTCCTTCCAGCCTCCTTTCCTCTCCCTTTTACAGGCACCTCTGCGAGAACTTGTTTAACAAGGTTTGTCTGAATCACTGAAGGGTGTGTCCGTCTGTCTCTCCGTCTGTCTCTCCGTCTGTCTTTCTGCGTGTATTTGTGCATGTGCGTGCTTTTGTGTTCACATCTGTGTTTTACACACATGCTTTTGTCTACACCTGCGTGTCATGTCCTCAGACCTAAGGTGTGACTCGAGGTTTGACTGACAGTGAGTCAAAGAGGTTCAGATTAAAACTTCATCTCAGTCACCGAAACTCACGTTGGTGTTTGTGACTGTGAAAAGCGTCAGTGCAGGAGGTGCACATCAAAACTGTTTGACAAGGTCTTTGGTCATAGGTAATTGGCCTGGGGTTGTGGGATCGCAGGTCAGGAATGTCATTAAGAATTACCCTAATACAGTGACCATCAACTGGAGGCCCACGGCCCACCGAACAATCCAATCTGCCCTGCGACTGGATTACAAAATAGAAATAAATACTAATGTAATCCAAACATTAGATGTATGTTTCTTTTAATTGTGCGGCCTTGTGACTGGATCTCCTCTCACAGATTGACTATTGACTGTCAGTCAAGTGTGTGAAGTGTGTCACACAAACCAACCTAGCTAGTTGGATGGCCAGCCTCGTAGGTGATGATAGGCTGAGCCAGTTCCGCTCTCTTCTGTATTAGCACTGGGTGCCGTTTCACAGGAGAACTTGTTTTGACAGAACTGCAGGTGTCTCATTGTTGGGGCTGGCATGGTTCAACAGATTACCAATTAACAGAGGGGCCGAGGCCATGGGTGGGTGTGTGTGTGTGGGGGGGGGGGGGGGGGGGGGGGGAGGTGGAGAAGCAAGGAAGGAGGGGGAATATGAACGTGTGGTGATGCAAGGTTGTAGGGGTGAGTACAGCGATGGAATGAGGTTTTAGAATGAGAGAGAAAGCAAGGAAGGAAGTGTGGGGGGTTCAACCTTGAGGCAGGCTAAAGGAAGGCAATTTCTATCTAAAGTCATTCTTAAAAAAGCTTTTTCAATGTTGTTTAGAAAGAGCAGGTTATTTTTCCAATCAATATGATATTCTTGAAATGTTTTTAATACATGCAGAGATTATTTTGGTGTGCTCTTTGTATTCTAATATGATAGTAAAATAACTTTTTACTGCTTTTACCAGTCGGTCTTCTTTTCCCTCTCCTAACAACACTAAAGTGTTTCTCTAGAATTTCCACCATTAAAGTTCAGCTTGCTAACAATTGTTCTCTAGTAGGTAATTAACTTAATGACTAACTACTTGGGTAATATTTAATTATCTGTTAACAAATGCAATTGTCAAGTTTCTTCTTATTCACCATTCACGTCTGTTTTATTTTCCATAAATCAATTTATGGCAATTGATGAATAAATAGCAAAAGACATTAAATTCACATTTTTAAATATTTGTATTTATTCCTCTCCCATCAACATTTGACAGCCTGGGATTAAAAAGGTGAATTAAGGGGTTGAATTAATAATGATTATTATTATAACCATAATAATAACTGTAATAATACAACAACAACAACAATAATAATAATACTAAAAATAATAATAATAAAATAAAATCAATATTGAAAGTTTGCTACGACTGTGGTGGAGTTAATGCTAGAAAGTTTAACCACAAAGTTAAAAAAGCTAAAGTTTTGGGAACCACTGCTTCAACCCTTGATGGTGTTATTTATTGATCAAACTACAACATGAAGTGTAATGGATGTCCTATTTAAGAAATACATTTGTTTATATCGGTTATAGCTGAAGACATTCTGTTCTAAGGTTTCTCCGGAGCGTTGTGAAATTTCTGTATCGACGTTGACCTAGCGCTAAGCTATCTCACAGTCTCTGGAGTTAGCGTCAGCCGGGTACAAACACTGTGTGCGAGGAGCTTGTGATTGAGAGTGATGGAGACAGCTTTTTGGAAATGGAGGGAAGAAGAGGACCAGAGTGGTGGAAAGATTGGGAGAATATAAAGCCCCACCAAATTCCCCAAAGAACAATTTACAGTTATGGATGAACGCACTGTCACAGTCACATCTGAACTATGTTGATGTGTGTGAGTGTGCATAGAGGACTGTGGAATGCTGAGTGATTCCAGAGAGCACTTAAGCTGCCTTGAATTCAGTTTGCCGTTCCCACCCACGTTTTAACAGCAGAAGGGTTTTCTGTAGAATTTGCCGGGGTAAACGTTGGGTATCTTCTCTCTGAGTCGTTTAGCAGCGTCCTTTGTCACCTTGCTTATAAAGTGTAAACCACATTTTTAGGTTCCTGCTCGAACAAGGCCATCGCCGCCAATTTATTTAATTCTATTCCCCTTGGTGCTTCCAATAAAATTCTCTCTGAACTTTTCTTGGATTTGTTTGGCTGTGGTTTTGATGTGCATGTTGTTGTTGTTTTTTTTTTTCTTTTTTTTTTTCACTTTTGTTCTTTAAGTCTGTTTAGTCAACACTGTCTAAGTGCCAGACCCTGCTTTTGTCTCGGCCTGGGGAAGAAATTTGATGTGAGAATTATTATTCCACCCAGTCAGTTTCTTTGAGCATTTTCCTCTCACTGCTCTTTGTTTTATCATTTTCCTTCTTTTTCTTCTAATAGTCCTGGAAGTTTGGGACACTCTAGAGGCAGGTTGATAGTACGGTTTTGCTGCTGCTGCATACCTGTGCAGGTGTGAACATGCATTTGTATTTATTTATCCAGACCTTAAAAAAAAAAAGAAGATTGAATGCAACTGAATCGCCTGTTAAACCGCCAC